TTTTGAGAGGCTTTTGCTATAGGGCGTGTGCGCTTGCCAGAAAGACAGAGAGAGACAGAGAGATAGAAAGCAAGAAATCACCCCCAGGGAAGATGGCCACGTTGCATTCCCTTCTCCTCCATTCTCCTCTCGGGATTTTGGGCACGCATGCACACGCACCCGGCGTGAGTTTAAGCCACCAGGTCCAGGACTCAAACCTCTGTCGACTACATGGGCATCCAGTGACATAGCCATTACGCTAACTGCTGGTCCCCATGAGCTCTATCTTGAGAAGAACAAAGTAAAATAAAGAACAGTAATACTGTGCACATTCCTCATGTTACACAGTAGTTATGAGTGCACACTCTGGCGCCAGATCACAGCTCCACTGATGAGCTGTGTGAGCTAGGGTAAACTCCTTGCATTGGAGTTTTCTTACCTATATAATGTTTGAAATGTTAGTGTCTACTTCATCAGGTCTTTTTGAGGAATAAGTAGTATATGTAAAATATTTAAAGCAGTGCCAGGCAAATGGTAAGCATTTTTTAGTATCAGCTTTTATTATAATGAGACTTCTTAGACACTGATATTCAGAATAAATTAATCTTTTAAAATTACTTTATTTTTAGCTTTGCTTTAGGGCACATGTGTGCACTAGAGAGAGACTAACAAGAGAGAAGGAAAGTGAGAAATCATCCCCCAAGGGGGATGGCCACACCACAGTCCCTCCTCTCCCATTCGCCTCTTGGGATTGGGATTTTGCATATGTGCTTGGTGTGTTTTTCAAGCCGCTGAGGTCTGGGACTTGAACCATGCAATCAACCACGTGGAATCCAGCTACCTTAAACACCATGCCGCTGGCTGGCCCGTTGTCATTAATAGCTGATGATATCCCAGAGTGTAGATATAGCATAATTTTCTCACATGCCAGTCTTGATGTCCTCACACTGTGCATGGTATGCTCTTCTGTGGTATAAGAGTGATGTGGAATGGTGAGGGGAGAGGGGCTCATCTTTCTGAGAAGCTGTTGTTGGGGGATTTTGAAATTCTGCTAAAGGCTATGTTTATCAGTATCTTCTTAATGCTGTTTAAGAGATTATTGGTTCTTTTGAGTAGTGCCTTAGAGTTTGAGATATCAAAGTGCAGTTGCACGATTATTTACAATTTCATTTTGCTGCCGTGTAAATTCTTATAACATCAGCGTTTAGGAGATATTATTCATGTCAGCTCTACCAAGCCCTGAGTGGCTTCTCATATATTGCTTTTCAGCATATTTGGTAATTTCCTCAGGCAGTGCTTGATATTTCCTTTGGAGTTTGCCTTTTGATGCCTCTCCTGTGATGAGCTGCTACCAAATAGTTCCCATCACACCCCGACTTTTCATTGCAACCAGTAAATACTGAGCACGCCACCTGAAAACTGCTGTGCAAGACAATCTCACTTTTTTCTTTCTGTTTAAACATGCAATAAATAGGCCTTCTGATAAATACAATTCTGGAATCAAATAGTTGTAGGTAATATCCTGGAATGAAAAAGAAAAAAAAGGAAAAAAAAAATCCTCAAATGTAGCAAATGCTATTAGCATGCTGCTGTGTCCTCTGGGCACCTGCCTTCCCTGGCACTGCCAGCCCCGTGGCCTCTACCGCAAACACTGACTTTACCAGAGGGCTTTCTCTGGCAGTGGAGCCTGTTGGCTATGAATGAGAAGGCCATAAGTGCTAGAGAGTAAATACCCTTTGGGTGCATCCATCAGATAATAAGGAATGGGAGTGGAAGTCTAAATTCCCTATCTCCTTCACCTTTCAGATGGGATAACTCTGTGGGATTTTTATTTCGTCTCTCAGGGTTTTCCAGTGAGGTCAAGCTCTAGTCATTTGTGGTGGTGACTTGTTTGATAATGTGCCTTTTACAGATTTTATTCTCTTCCCCATTCCCCTGCCCGAGCCTCTGGGATAACTTCCCAAACTAGCTGCTTTGATTCAAATTCTTGACTGGGTATTCACTGGGTTGTTGGGAAAGTCATGACACATTTTTGCATAGATTAACAGAAAAATTAGTCATGACTTTTCCAGTGACCTAGTATTTTTTTTTTTGAGAGATTTTCACTGTAGGGCACGTGCGCTCGCCAGACAGACAGAGAGAGACATAGAGACAGAAAGCGATAAATCACCCCCCAGGGGGGATGTTCACGCTGCAATCCCTTCTCCTCCATTCTCCTCTTGGGATCTTGGGCACGCACGCACACGCGCCTGGCGTGAGTTTTAAGCCACCGGGTCCGGGACACGAACCGCGGTTGACTACGTGGGAGTCCAACGACATAGCCATTACGCTAACTGCTGGTTCCCCTAGTGACCTAGTATTTTTAGAGGAACCCAAACTATAGAAACTAAATCTTTTTTGCTTTTCTTTCTTTTTTATTTTTTAGAGAGATATTTTTAATATAGCGTGTGTGTGCTTGCTGGAGAGATGGTGAAAGGCAGAGAGACAGAAAGCAAGAAACCCCCTCCTAAGAGGGTGACCCTTCCAATCCCTTTCCCTCAATTCTCCTCCTGGGATTTTGGGCATGCATGCACATGTGCCCGGTGTGAGTTTTAAGCCATCAGGTCCGGGACTTGAACCATGATTGATTATGTGGGAGTCCAGCAACATAACCATTATGCCATCTGCTGGTCCTAAAATGGCATCTTTTTTTTAAATATTTATTTAATTTTATTTATCATTTTTCAATTTTACCAGAGAGAGACACAGAGAGAGAGAGTGAGAGAGAAAGTGAGAAAGCAAGCCACCAGATCCAGGACTTGAACTGTGGTTGGCCATGTGCCAGTCTAGTGCCTTAACCTCCACACCACCTGTCAGCCCCCTGAGACTGAATTTTTTAAGAACTATAAAAGTATTACTTATTTACTGTATATATGAGAGAAAATACATTGAAGCAAAAAGAATATACATTTTATCACTTGAAAAAAATATGTTATAGACATTTTGCTGTATTTTCATTTATGTTTATATATCTACAAGTAAACAGATTATACTGTACATATTTCATCAGTGAGTTTTAGTTGCAAGTTGTCAGAAAGTTTCCTTTTTACTTTTTCCTCAAGTGAAAATTCTTTAGATTTGTTTTATATGATAATTATTATTTTTTTTATGAGAAATTTATGCTATAGAATGCATGCGTTCACTGGAAAGACAGAGACAAGAGAGAAAGAAAGTGACAAATCACTCCCTGGGGGGATGGCCATGACATGGTCCCTTCTCCTCCATATTCTCCTATCAGGATTTTGAGCATGTATGCAACATGCCAGGGGTGAGTTTTAAACCACTGGGTCTGGCACTCAAACTGCAGTCCAATACATGGGAGTCCAGTGACTTAACCAATATGCCACCTGCTGGTCCCTTTATATGATAATTCTAAAAAATGTGCAACAAATCCTGTTTTCCTGAAATAACCACTGTCAACTATTTTGAGTATATATTTTTAACTATTACATTTTAAATGAAATGTAGATATTATTTTAAAATATCCAAAATATCAGAGGAAGAATATTTTATATACTAGTCTATAATTTACTTTTATTTAAAATTTTTAACTCCAGAGGGCAAATGCAATGTCAGAGAGGAGAAAGTGCCCCCTGTGTCCCCGGCAGGGCCTGGTTACGCAGCAATTCTTGTCTTCCATTTCTCTGTTCTATCAGAATTTTAGGTATGTCTGCACACATGCCCAGCACGTTTTTCAAACCACAGGGGCTGGAATTTGAACCATGGTTGGCCATGCTTCCTCCCCACAACACTTAATTGCTGGGCTCCAGGGCTGGCCCTGTAACTTGTGTTTTTATCATCAGTGTTTTAAACATTAACAAAAGACACAAAGCATATTAGTTTATTGCAGAAAAATGAGAAAGTACAGTAAACAAAAAAGAACATAGAATTGAAAGTCACAGCTATTCCATTTATCCAGAGATAAATATCGTTAACATTTTGGTGAATCTTTTTTTAAAGTTTTAAAGACATTTATCTAAATACTCATATAAATATTGTATTTAGGAATGAAATCTAACTATATAAACTGTTTTCTGTCACTTAGTAATATGCTATGAGCATTTGTCTGATAGTAAATATTAAAAAACAGTCAATGCCTATATGAAGGCCTTTTAACTAAATTTTCTTTGTTGAGGATTCAGATCGTTTCTTGATTTTAAAAAACATTTATAATAGATATTATCATAAAAATTCTATAGTTAAACTTTTGATTACATCCATTGCTATTTCCTCTGAATAATTATTTAGAAGTAGAATTACTGGGTTAAAGGTTTATGCAATTTTGTTTTTAGGAAGATTTTTGTTAAAAGGCTTGTGCACTTGCTGGAGAGACAGACAGAGACAGACAGATAGAAAGTGAGAAATCCTCCCCTGGGGGGGATGACCATGCTGCAATCCCTTTTCCTCACTCTTCTTTTGGGATTTTGGGCATGCACGCACACACGCCTGGCATGAGTTTCAAGCCACTGGGTCTGGGACTTGAGCCGTGGTTGGCCATGTCCAGCGACATAACCATTATATCATCTGCTGGTCCCAGGTTTATGCATTTTAATGAGTTTGATAAATGTTGCCAAATTGCCTGCCAGAAGAGTTTTGCCAATTTATATATCTTCTAACAGAAAGGAAAATAACATTTACTCTAGTTTTCAACAACATTGCTTATTATAATTTTTAACTAAGTTGTCTTATAGTGGAACAAAATTATATTTCCAAGTATCCTTTACCATTGAGTTTTCACTTTTTGAAAAGTTTTGGGAAGTTTTTTTGGAAAGGTTTTTGAAAGCTATATGAAACTTATTTCATTTTTCTTTCCAGTTGAATTGTCAGAATTTTCACCATTGGAGACATCTATAACTTTTCTTATATTATCAAGCATGAAACATGTGAGGTCCTTTATATATAAATTTTAATTTCTGTTAATAAGAATTTCAGTGTCAAATAAAATAAAAAATTAATAAAAAATATGCAAATATTTTGAACCAGTGTGTGTGTGGGGGAGAATTTCAACGTCTGCTTAACTTACTCTGTTTCCAGGTGACAATAATTTATACCAAAGACTTGCCCTTACATTTTACTTGTTGCTGTGAAATCTTATCCTCCAACTGTTTTACAATTACAGGTGTGACTTCTTTGTCTTACCTCTAATTTTAAATATTTCTTTTCTCTTCTAAAGGTCTTTCAGATGTGAACTCTTGGCACTTCCGTTTCCGCTGGTCGGGGGATGCGCCCTCAGAACTCCTGAGGAAGTTCAGAAACTATGAAATATGAAGTGTCCCTTCTTCAGAAGAGGGAGAGCAAGACTGTCCCCTGCATTGCCAACATGCAGTCTTTGTACACATCTTTAGAATGTCGTGTTTTTGTGTCATGTTTGTGAATTGCTGAGTACCAATTGATTCCTTCATCCTTAAACCCATACTTAAGACTCTTTCAGTATTTAGAAAACTTAAGGCTCTTACATCCAGAGTAGACTGTGTATGTTTTCCTGTTAATGCTATTTATAGAAATTCATTAAAAATTGATGTCTATATTTAAATATTCATTGACAAACCTTAATCTCTTTTAGTGCTTAATGTACCAAGGTGTTTTCTGACTCTTAACTTAAAATGAAATGTGATGGGACCAGCAGGTGGTGTGTGTAGTCAAGGCCAACTGCTGCTTGGACCTAGCGAATTGCTTTCTCAGTTTCCCTTTCTCTCTCTGTCTCTGTCTCTTTCTGGTAAGAAATAATAATAAATAGAATACAATGAATAATTCTTTAAAAAAATGTGAAATTCTTGTCTGATTCCCATGGAGTGAAATAATATTCTCAAATTTTATAAATGAATTTATAATTGAACCATGTTTTCAAAATAATTTGCATGAATATTTCTACTTTGAGAATGATAAATGTAGAAGTTAAGATTTATTTGAAGAGATAATGTGATTTTACAAGCTTTCTTATGTTATGTAATGTCTAACCATGACAATGATTAAAAAAAAGAAAATCTTTTTCTTTTACTTTTTAATTTGCTATAGGGAATGTGTGCCCACTGGAGAGAGACAGAAAGGGGAGAGAAAGAAAGAGAGAGAAAGTGAGAAATGACCCCTCAGGGACAATGGCCATGCCACAGTATCTCTGCTTAATTCTCTCAGGATTTTGGGGACATGTGCCCAGTGTGATTTTCAAGCCGCCGAGTCCGGCACTTGTTCCTGCGAGGATGGCCAAGGATCCAGCACCTTAACCTCCACACCACCCGCTAGCTCAGTAACGTAACTCTTTTAGGTTGGACTTTTTTTTTTTTTTTTAAGACAGCGTCTTGCCATGTCACCCTCCTGCTGTCTCTTCTTCCCAGCCGTGATTACAGGTGCATGCTGCCACACCCATCTCTTTTATTTTATTTACTTATTTTTGTTTGTAATGTTTTCTTTTTAAAGTTTATTGATTGGGCCGGCAGGAGGCTTAGTGGTTAAGGTGATGGGCTCCCACATGGTTTGAGTCATGGACCTGGTGGCTTGCTTTCTCACTTTCCCTTTCTCTCTCTCTGGTCAAATTAAAAAAAAAAGATAAATAAAATTAAGTGAAATAATTCTTCTTTTAAGAATGATTTTATTCATATTTATTTATTTATTTATTTATTTTTAATTTGACCAGACAGGGATAGAGTGTGTGTGAGAGAGAGAGTGAAAAAGCAAGTTGCCAGGTCTGGGACTCGAACTCCAGTTGACTATGTTGGAGTCCAGCACCTTAACCACCATGCCACCTGCTGGCCCCAGTTGAAATTCTTGATGGTCACGTGTAATCTATGGTTATTAGTTTGTAAATAGGGGAATAAAATTTTAAAAGAAAAAAGATTTTAGATGGGCTGACAGGTTGCATGGTGATTAAGGCTGGTCATGGGTTCAAGTCCTGAATTTGGCAGCTTGCTTTCTCACCCTCCTTCCCTCCCTCTCTCTCTCTCTCTCTGTTTCTCTCTGGTCAAATTAAAAAAATAGTAATAACAATGATAAACAAAATTTTAAAAATTATTTAAAAAGAGAAAAAAGCATTAAGATTTTAGAGCAAAGATTCCTCAGTCAATGACAATCTTCACTTCTACATCAAAATCAAATAAAATAAGAACTTAATAATATGGTCAGACTGTTTCTATTCCCTGAAAATTTATATGATAAAATTCTAACCCCTGGGCAGCCCATGGTAAGGTGCTTAAAGCAGTTGGATCCCAGATGGCCAACTGTATTGTTTAAGTGGCTTTAAAAACACACTGGGCACATGTGCATGCACACTCCAAATCCTGGGTGGAGAATGGAGGATGAGGGATTATGGTGTGGTTATTTCCCTTGGGGGTGATTTATTATGTCCTCTCCTTCTCTCTAGCACTCCATAGCAAAACTAAAAAAAAAGGGGGGGGGGCCGGCAGGTGGCATGGTGGGTAGAGGTAAAGGATTCTCACATGGATGACCATGGTTTGAGTCCTGGACCTGGCAGCTTGCTATCTCACTTCTCCTTTCTCTTTCTCTGGTTAAATTAAAATAATAATAATACAAATGTAATTAATTAAATAAATAAATCTTAAAAAAATGTCCTAACATACAAGGCGATGGTATTAGGAATGGGATTAGTGCCTTTATAAAAGAGGACTGAGAAAGAGAGATATCTCTTGATTCTCTTCTGCCATGCAAGGACACTGCAAGAAGTCATCATTCATAATCTTTGAATGAATTTGCCTTGATCTTGGACTTCTAGTCTCCAGAACCATAAGAAATAAATTCTTGTTGTTTACAAGCTACCTAGTTTATGGTATTTTGTTATAGTAGCCCAACAGACAAACACAGCAAGTTATTTTATTTTTTATAAAAAGCTGTTAATCAGAAATTATGTCCTTCCTCCCATTGTGATATAAAATGTGCTCCCTTTTATGAAATGATGTCAAAGTAGGTTGTGCTAATGTACTAGGGCTGCTATAACACAACCGCAGACTGGATGACGTGTACATTTCTGAAGAGTTCAGGAAGCTGGAAGTCGAACATCATGGAGTTGGAAGGTTTTTTTCCTTTCTTTTATTTTCTCATTTTTAAAATATTAAATCATTGTACATCTTTATAGCATAAGAAATGGATTTTCCCAGCAAAAAAAATACATTGTATCAATATATTAGTCCAGTTAAAAGTCTTACCATATATATTGTCATCAACAGATAATTTTCCATTGTTGAGTCTATTGAATGCTTTGTTTCCCCCCACCCCCTTGATTCCTTTCCAGTGGCTTTTTTTCTGAGGCTTCTCTTGGATGTCAGGTGGCTACTTTCTTTTTTCCTTTTTTTTTTTTTTTTGACAGGTTTTTGCTATAGGGCACGTGCACTCACCAGAAAGAGAGAGACAGAGAGACAGAAAGTGAGAAATCACCCCCCAGGGGGATGGCCACACTGCAATCCCTTCTCCATTCTCCTCTCAGGATCTTGGGCATGTACTCACATGCGCCCAGCGTGAGTTTAAGCCACCAGGTCTGGGACTCGAACTGCGGTTGACTACATGGGAGTCCAGCAACATAGCCATTACGGTCACTACTGGTCCCTCAGGTGGCTACTTTCTTGAAGTAACCTCACGGGGCCTTTCCTCTGTGCACAAATATTCCTGGTGTCTCCCCCTCTTCCTATGGGGACACCAACTGTATTGGTTTAGGGGACCCTAGCCTATCAACTACATTTTAATTTAAGTGCCTTTTAAGAGACCTTATCTCTAAATAGGTTTACATTAGGAATGATGGGGACTGGGATTTCAATATATGAATTTGGGGGGGGAACATGATTCAGTCTGTAACAGATGAAAACTTATTCTTTTAAAAATTAGTACAACCATGTAATGATTCGTTAAATTTGAGTTTTTACTGTTTCATCAAATTCAAAAGTTAGGGTCAGTCATTTAGAAAATTCCTATAAATATCTTCCTACTTCTGTAAACTATGGTTTGGCAGTGTTATCATTTCTGCAAATCTGACTTTAAACATGGAAAATAAATGCAAAAAATACAGCATGTTTACTTAGTTGAATGAGCTTTTGGACAACAGTCACCTGTCATCATGCCTGTCTGGCACAGATAGACACTCATATACTCTACTGAGTGAGTGAGTTTTCGAATCTAAGAATCAGAGTTTTACTTTACCGTTTTCCCTCTCTCCCACAGACTGATTTATAGCATTGATGACTTTTAATGACTTGTCAAAGAGGAAAACACTCCCACGGCCATGATAGTCTATTTTTGTTACAGGCTCATTTCCCAATTGTTGACAAGATTGAGCACTAGCTTTTGTTTACTTTTCTCTCCCATGACGCCTGAAGCCTCCAAATAAGAAACAGCTCTACTTTAATGGAGGTTTATGATGGGCCAGGTTTGTGCTAAGCACTTTATATACTTGGTTCCATTTAATGTAGTGGGATCCTTTTTATACTTAAAACACTTAAATACTTGCCTGAACTCAAAATATTTAACAGGAAGGGGAGGGCTGGCTAGGCAGCATAGTGGTTAAGGCAGTTGGGCCTCCATATGGTTGACTGTATGGTTTGCGTCCCAGACTGTGGTGTGGTCATCTCTTCCGGGGGGGTGCTTTTTCGCTTTTCTTCTTTCTGTCTGTTTCTCTCCAGTGAGTGAACGCATCTTATAGCAAAAAACATTTTTTTTAAAAAGAGAGGGGACTGTGCTTTGATAAGGTGGTCCTTTGAATGAAAAGAGGAAAATGACATTTTTCCTTCACTAGTTTGTTTGAATGGCCCAGTATGTCCAGCAAACCTCTATCAAATGTGTGCATGATGGCACACTTGGAAAACCACTTACTTCTGCTTTGTAGCTCAACTTCATGCCCTAACAAGCTGATATGAAAATATAATTTTGTATAAAGATGTTAAAGTTTTCAAAGCTCTAAATGGTGAAGATAGCTCCTGTTCTATCTGATATTGAGTGAATGAGGCACATATTTCCTGAGAATATTATTGTGTGATAAATATTACACTAGCATTTGTATAGGATATCAAAACAAGCTGGACCAAGTGGTGGCAATAGTGGTCACACAGTGGACTTCCATGGGACAGGTGCTGGGTCACATCCCAGGATCCCCCTGAGCATGCTATCATGTGTGTGAGTGCCCATGTTCCAGACCTGCTGAGATTGAGAAAGGATCATGGCATGAATTAACTAACTAACTAAATACTTAAGCCAACTTTATGCTCTTAAAGAGTTGATGTTCTAGTGAAGTAAGACCGGCATATGAATATCTAGAGTTTGAAAGGAGTGTATTGATATAATGTGCTTAAAACATGATGATAAGCTCTATTAGTTATTACTCTTATTATGTGTTAAGTCTCATATTAATCTATTAACAGATTTGTGGCCTCTTTCACATACCCCCTCCCCCACATGTATGCCTGGCATACTAAGGGAGATCTTCAGACAGGATCCTGAACGTTCCCATGTGGGTCAGTCTCACAGAGTCACATTTTACTGCTGTGCCACTGTCCTGCTCCCTTTTCATTTGTTTTTGTTTTTGATTGTTCCCCACTCACA